CTAAACCCTAAACCCTCTTCTACCTACTCTTCTTTGCTTCCCAGCGTCCGTCTCTCCGAGCTCCTGCTTCGTGCCCGGAAGCTTGCAGCTGACCCGGAGCCCGACTTCGGGATCCTCGGGTTGGAGCTTAGGGGTTTAGGGGTTAGGGGTTTAGGGGATTTTAGGGGTTTAGGGGTTAGGGGTTTAGGGGATTTTAGGGGTGCAGGGTTTAGGGGTTTAGGGGTTAGGGGTTTAGGGGTTTTTAGGGGTGCAGGGTTTAGGGGTTTAGGGGTTTAAGGCTTTAGGGCTTTAGGGTTTAGGGCTTAGGTTTCCGGATTTAGGGTGTGGCTTCAAGTTTGTAGTCTTTCCCACTCGCTTGAATATATAACAGGGTCTAGGGCTTAAGTCTTGCAGTGGGCGTTTTGCTGTTTTTGTTGGCTTGAAGGGTTGGGGATGTAGGGTTGCATGAGGCTCAGAGGTTCAGGATTTGCTTCTGGGCTGGAGGGGTTTGGGATTTCGGGTTTCAGGTTCAGTGCAGTTTTAGGGCTTAGGTCCAACTGTGAGGTTCGATTGGAGACTTATAGCCGTTATAGCCCTGGTCTTCTGCGGGTTTATTGATGTAAGGGCTAGCAGTAGCTGTAAGGGTGTCTAGTTTAGGGCTGAGAGGGATTTATGGTTTGGGCTTTAACGCGCGGTGCTTAAGGGTTTTAGGTTCGCGTTTTGAAGGGCTCAGGGTTGGAGGTTTCGGTTGCCACCTTTTCTACCCGGAAACCCTTTTGAACAATCCCCTAAACCCTAAACCCCTCTTTCGAACCCAGGCTCTTTGCTATCAAAACCCTAAACCCTCTACCCGGGCTTTCACACCTCCCACTTAAGGGTGAAGAAGCCAAAGTTCCCAGCATGAAACAATGTAGGGCCTGAGCCCCTGAGCTCCATGGCCCCGTTACCCCCGGGCCCTGTGCGGATTTAGGATTGAAGGTTTAAGTTGTAAGGCTTCGGACTTTAGGGATTTAGGCTTAGGGCTAACATGCTAGGGCGTTACAGTAGCTTCAGGGTTTTGGGGCTATAGCCATTGCAGTTTAATGAGCCTCAGAATTTGGAGTGCCTCCCCTTCTTGCACCACGTGACACGTGACAGCTCTTGTTCTGATCAAGGAAAATTGCAAAAGACGTGCTTGCCAGCTTCTTCCATGCATTCGCTCGTTCTAGCTTTGGAATCTTCCAAGTGCTTCAGAAGAAGAGCTGTGTCACAAACCACCCTGAACCCTACACCGGCAAACAACCCTAAACCCCCCGAAACCCACAGAACAACCCTAAACCCCGAACCCCTAAATAAAACCCAAACCCTCGGTTAGGAACCAAACCCCCCGAAACTCCCCCACTAAAGACTAAATTCCTAAGCCCTAACCCTAAACCCTGAACTCCCCCACAAAAGACTAAAATCCTAAACCCCTAAACCCTAAACCCCTAAACCCCCCTAAACCCTAAACCCTAAACCCTAAACCCCCCCCCTCTTCCCCCCTCCCCCGCGCCGCTCTGCCCGTGCAGAGCGAGGCTCCCAGGTCCCGAGTTGCATCAGGCTGGTGCCGTCGCGTCCTTTTGGGATCTAGGGGTTTAGGGCTTTTAAGGGGTTTTTGGGGTTTTGCGGTCTCAGGGTTTTCGTTTCGGGCTTTCAGGGTTTAGGGGTTTTATGGGCTTTGGAGTTCAGGGTGTTGGGTTCAGGTTGGGTTTTCCAGGGTTTAGGGTTTAGGGTTTAAGTGTACGGCTCAAGTTTAAGTCAAGGGTTTAGGGTGTTGGGTTTTGGGACATGCTGGATCCTCTAAGTAGGGTTTGAGGACATTTCCATGGGGTTCGAAATGGTTAAAGGCTTCACGGTCTTTGGAATTCAGGGTTCGATAAGGTGTGTTTGGAGGCCCCCATCTCATAGAACCCTCATAGAGCCCGTATAGGAACCCTTAAAGAGGCCTCGAAATGAAACCTACATGGAGGATCGTAGTACTTACTAGGCAAGATTATATGGACTTTAACTTGTGGTTACAAGCAGATATTCCTATAGTTAGCTTACCTGTGACCCTACTTACTGACTCCCATGATCCTCGAAGTAGGCCTTTGTTTATAGTCGAGGGTTGAGGGGGTGTCTTTTCAGCTCAGGATTTTGGGATGACCTAGGCTCAGGGTTGAAAAGGACTCATGGCCCATATGGCTGAGAGTGTTCAATTTCGGAGCCTTAATTCTTGGGATAAGGTTTTGGAGAGCATTATAATTATACTGTGGTTACACATAATTATAAGGACTGTAATGGGATATTGTTGCCATACATCCCGACGCCTGATGAATGAGTGTGTCTAGAGTTGGTAGGGCTCAGCTCATTCGGAGCTAACGGTTGGCGCAACAAACGAAAATGGTTTTAGGCGTGCGATTTGCTTACAGATTCCGAATGTTAACCCGCAGCACAGAAAGATACATATGCTGCAAAGGGGTCTTGCTACCGAGCACACAGCCTCGCCAACATCACAACAGGAACTGCGACGCAGCAATCGTGATACTGCCATTGCACACAAATTTAAATATACGAGTTTATAGTGCAGTGCTGAGGTTACTCGATTACAGCATTCCTTTCATTTAAATGGCCACAAAGCCGGCCCTGTGAATTTCCAAGACGGGGTGCGGCTGATGTTGATGGTCGACACCGCGGCCAAACGCTCCACGTCCTGTGCTCAACCGTGGCATGGGGGACCTAGTATAGGGGCCTTATAGGGTTTAGGGCTTAGGGTTTAGGGATATTATAGGGGCCCTATAGGGCTTAGGGTTTAGGGTTTGGGGATATTATATACTGAACTTGGGACCCTAGCAAAAAATTACAATTTTCAGCTGTCTCTTCGGGATTATAGTAACAAGCTGTCTCTTCGGAATTAGAGTAACCCAAGATTAAGAAGTAGTCCTAAGTGCCCCGAAGGGACAGGGTCCGGCTGAAACGCTGCTAGAGGGTTTAGGGTCGACTTCGAGGATCAGGGGACCTAGTATTTAGGGTTATGAGTAGGGTAACTTGACTTATAACTATCTACTTCTAACCCTAATTAGGGTACTTAGATTGGCTTATAACTATCTACTTCTAACCCTGACTAGGGTACTTAGATTGACTTATAACTATCTACTTCTAACCTTAATTAGGGTACTTAGATTGACTTATAACTCTCTACTTCTAACCCTAATTAGGCTACTTAGAACGTATAACCCTACTTACCAAGTCCCACGATCCTTCAAGTAGAGCCTTCCCCGCTCGGACAAGTCCCCTTTAGCGTCTAGGGGGTCCGGATTCAGAGGACATCACGGTTTAGGGTTTAGGGTTTAGGGTTTTAGGGTTTAGGGTTTAGGGTTTAGGGTTTAGGGTTCACAACAGGATGAGGTACCACAAGGAAGCCCGGAACCAAAAGCTCCAACACCCAACCCCACATCCAAGTTCGACCCGAAGCCGCGGTTTAGGGTGCGCTTGGAGGATCATGGGACATAGATGAGTAAGATAACTCCCTTGATATCTACTTACAACCCTAATACATGCGAATGAGGTACATATAACCCTACTTACTAAGTCCCATGATCCTCTGAGTAGGGTTTGTTCTTCCCGCCCTGCAGCCTGATTGGAGCTGAGCCTAGCGCCAGCTCATTTCGTGTGCCGACCTACATCTGTCTACCTACCTTTCCATGTGTCTACGGTCTAGGGTTTAGGGCTACCTGTAGGTTTAGGTGTAGTTCATGTAGAAGAAAGCAGGAATGTCAAGCATACTTATGCCTGTCCAGTACGTGCTTTTGCATCCGGTCCACGTACGTACGTGCTGGCAAATGGAAGATGGAGCCAACAAGTACCTGGCCCCTCCTGGCAAACACAAGCCTGTGCTGAGACACATCATTGCCTTGGAAAAGCACGAGGCCAAGCTGTAGCGACAGGGCTTTTTTGAAGGGCTTGGCGGACATGGAACGCCGACTCTGGCTAAATTGCAAGTGCCGGCTTTGGGAAAGCAGTCTCGGACTCAAACGAAAACTTCCATGGTCTGTTGCAACAGGCTTTAGGTGGGTTTTGGGGGTGCAGGGCTCAGCATCGACAGTCTGGGGTAGGGTCCTAGGATTTACGGCCAAAACCCAGGAACCCCCGGCACCGAACGGTCCCCATGCGTGTTCGCCATCAGCATGCACCTGAGCAATGGGCCGCTCTAAGCTGCGCTAACATGCTCAAGCTTGACCAGCTAGTCTGAGTGGCTGCAGTTGACAGTACACCAGAACCTGCTATGCGTCCTACGAGATACATAGATCTACCACGCACGTTGTCGATACGGCGATATGCCTGAACATGCCAAGCTGTCCATGCAACACTCGTCTGCTCCAGACACTGCCTAGAATCTGGTCCTGCAGACTTTCTATCGGGGCCCTAATTTTCTGAGAGCACATATAGTGCGCCTGCACTCTACACCAATCCCAGCACCTCAGAAACGCATTACCCTAAACCCTAAACTTAGTCAGCGCGGAGGCTGTTCCCAAGAGGAGCTTCGTTGGTCATCTCTAACCCAAATCATCTCAACATAGACAGCTCAAAGGAAACCGAGTTAAGAACACCTCCCCCGGCACTGGTTAGAGCTTTGCTGAAGCTAGCTGGGGAGAGCTAGTGCTAGGAAACACAAGCCTCGAAACTCCGAGAATGATCACGGAGATACCGGTTAAGAAGGAAACTCACTTCGGACAGTCGTCGTTCTTTTCACATATTCATTTTCAGAAAGCGGTCCGTTTAGAAGGTCTGTTTCCGAACTCAAAAATGCTGTACGAGAAGATAGGTTTTAGGTTTACATATTTGGGCGAAATTCAGTATGAACCATCGAAACTCGCTGATTTGATGTCTCAAAAAAGACTCCAAAAATCAAAACTACAGCGATGGGAAGAGTTTTAAGAACATTTCTTAACAGTGTACGAGGCAGCATTTTCTGATACGATGATTGGACGGATGCATTTTAAAGGTGGTGAGAGTATGTGGAATCGGTTCCGGAACCACCTTGACTCAAACGACGAATTCTCTTTACAACTCAGACGGCCATTTGCATATGGGTAATTCTCTACATTAGGGTCCCTTTTTAGGTTCAAGCTGTAGTACGGCACCCTCACAAAAAGGACCCTGAAAGGGACCCCTAGTTTAGTTTAGAGAACTACCCATGTACTAGCAGCCAGGTCGAACTAGAACTCTAGACCCAAGGGTCAGCCCCCCACTCCAATCTAAAACAACACAAGTAATGCCCAAGCACAGCAGAAACCTTACAGTAGCCTCTGCGTAACGTAAACCTTATACCCGTTATTCCCTAAACGCTAAACCCTAAATGCTGGCAGGAGCACTTACTTCTGATGACTTCCCTCTCCAGCTCTTCAATGTTCCGCGGATGGTTGCGGAACCTGGGATTTAGGGTTAGGGTTGGGGTTTGGGGTTTAGGGTTTAGGGTTTAGGGTTTAGGGTTTAGGGTTTAGGGTTAGTAGTAAGTTTTGGGTTCATGAGTCTAAGTTGAACAAGCAATCCTCAAGAATAGCACTGCTACTTGTTCGGACCCCTAGGGGCTGTAGCGACAGTTGTGTTTGGGAAGCCCAAGGGACACCGTATCCGGGTTTCAGGAGATATGTCTGGACACCTCAGAGCCCAAATGGGCTAAGTTTCGAAGTGCTAGAACTCAAGGCCCAAAAAGACACAAAGCGGGAATTCAACACCTCCCAAACTTCGCCCCTGAACCCTACACCCTGAATCTTGAACCCCCCCCCTCCCCCCCCACTGCGTCCTGGGGAAGAACCCTACACACCGGCGCCGAAATCGGCCGACCCCCTCTCTGGCAACTTTGCCTTAGTCCTGGGTTTAGTAAGTTTGCTGGTGAGGGTTTAATGTAGGGGCCTTAATAATTAGAATAGGGTATTGGGGTAGGTTGTTATACTACAATTAATTATAGTAAGGAACCTCCAAAATAGTATGGGTAATTATTTAGGCCCTATATTTCCCTCTCGCTTTGCAGAGAACTATGCTCACAGCGAGGTCTAGGGCCCTATACTAGGGTTTAGGGTGTAGGGCTCAGGGAAAGAAGAACCAGTTCTCAATTCTCAAGGGGTTCAGGGGGTTTCTTGGGATTAAGGGGCTGGTGGGTCTCGACTCTCATGTATTGACCGGCTGGGTTGGGCATCGTTATGGCCGTTTTTGCTATTCAAGGAACCCGCAACCCCAAAACCCTAAACCCCAAGTCGGAGTCTCGCAACTCGGACACTTCGATTATCGCACAGGGTGTTACGAAGTAATCAGGGTCTTGGGTTTTAGGGCTTCCGGGACGAAAGTCTTGGTATCTGCGATGTAGAGCCCTAACCCAGACCCTCAAAAGGATCCAAAAAATAGATCCCCTAATTAGGGACCCTAACTACTAAAGGGTACTTTATAGGAACCCCCTTAGGGGATCTATTCTTTAGATCCTTTTGGGGGTCTGGGAAGCTAAGCCCCTACGGCCATCCCAAGCCAGACGAAGCGCACTGCTGTTGCCCATTGCGTGCCAACCTTTCAGCAGGTCGCGACCCTTAGGGTTTCCTGGGTTGGGATCGCTGGATTTAGGGTTGAGGGTTAGGGTTTAGGGTTTGGGGTTCAGGGTTTAGGGCTTAGGGTTTAGGGTTGAGGGTTTAGGCTTCAGAGTTCAGGGTTTAGGGTTTAGGG